TCTCTCTCTCTCTCTCTCTCTCTCTCTCTCTCTCTCTCTCTGGGGTTGCATAGACAAGTGTTAAAACAACAATGTTGTGTTTAAGACACGTTCCTACACGTCTTTCGTCAATATAGCTATTGTTAGCATCATACAGCTTCTCTTTGTTGGATTGTTTTTTCAAGTTTCGTTTTGCGGTAAAACTTGTTGTATTTTAAAATAGTTTCTTGGTTCTTGTATAAAGGACACATGAGGAGACGAATTAGTTCTGGGTATTTATTAAATTGACTTGGTATGTCTTCTACTAAAGACAGTGACATAAACGTACTGCTTTGTTCCACCCCTTCACTTATGCATGACGGCCTCCTGTCTTTGCAACTGGTGCGACCAGCCCTAAACTACCAGATGGTTGGTGTATGCAGTTTGGGAGTTTGGCTAAGTGTGATGATCTATTCGATATGGCTCTGAACGCTGCACAATTCCTAAATATTGTGAAAACAAATATGATACAACAGGAGACTGATGAGAAGTTTATTGGATGGAATGAAAAGAAAGTAAATGGGGAAGCTCTGAAAGACGCCTGTGTGAACAGCCCCTGCTGATGAAATAGATTTAGGAAGAGGTTCCTAAGACACTTGAATTAACTTACAGGCCATGAAACGTTATAATTTTTCAATCACTGGAAAATAAAAGGCAAGGGAAGCAGAGAAAGAAATAATCAAAATTACAAAGAAAAAATATTTCAACAGGTGGGTAAAGGGAAGAGATCAGGGTAATAATATAGGTCTTTAGAGAACCCGACAATGTTTGTCTCAAATCTAGCACTTGAGGAAGTTTCGGATATCTTGGTCTTGTGCTCACAGAATATGAAGCGAGAGCGTGATGATACGGATCTTTCCGCCTGTGCGTCCCTTTTATTGTTCTTTTTGTTGTCTCTATTTTCCCATCTCTAAATAACAATAAATCATAAATGTCGTTTTGTATTTGTCTGGAACACAAATTCTACTAACATCTCTACATGACTGTATTCTTTCCTTTTTTTATTCAAATAAAACTCAACCCAGGAACAAACTCAAAGGTAGAAGAGTGCGACAGCTATACACAGAGTTGATCTAGTGACTTGAGTGGTCTAAGACCGCTGTTCATCACCCAAGATGCGCTGGTTCCGGCCCTCGTGCATCCTGCTCCTGCTGTGTCTTTACGCTCTAGGTGAGTTTTGTAATATTGTTGGTAAAAACTGTTTAAGACCCCACTGGTACCGTCATTTGTTGTATAGCGGGCATACCCTATGCCCTCACACACAGAAAATGTGAGTTCAATTCTCGTGCAAGGAGGGTATTTTAAATCTAGTATCTCCATAACATGTCTGCTGGAACGTTGTAGTCCTGGGGATGGAAAAGAACAAGGAGACATTTTTATTAGACAAGAAAGAGGACAAGGGGGGGGGGGAGGAGAAGGGGCAGAAAAGGGAGGGGTGGTTGAGAATGGGATGGAGGATGATGACAACGAGAACGAGGGGAAAGAGGAAAAACTTTTTAAAGAATAAGGGGTTGATGTTGAAGAAAAGAAATGAGAAGGAGGAAAGAAGGCAGTTGGGGGGGGGGGGGTTCTTGAATCTCACTAACATACTTCAAAAGCAAATATCTATCAGTAACGACATTACTCCACACATCTGACAGCGGAAGGCAAAGCTCGCAGAGACAGATCCGGCTCACCACACTCCCGGAGAGATGGCGGGGACGACAAGGACAAGCACAGTCCTGAGTCCCACAGGTCTATGTCCGGTAAGCCTATGTGTGTGGCCAGTCCCTGGTCGTTTGTTCGGGCAGCAGCAGGTCATATGACTTCAGTACGAGCCTTTAAGTGCGCGGATCCTTACAGAACCGTTTGTGAGGCGTGCTGACAAAATGAGTTACTTCTCGCGATCCAAGAATGGAGATATCAGCCGAAAATCAAAACTGGGGTCAGATTTATAGATTTTCAGTTGATGTCATTTTGTTCAAATCTACCGTGTCTTTTATTATTCCATACTAACTAATTGTACAAACTCCATCTATAAAGTTGATGTATCAATTTCCATACAGCTAAAATCCTAAAGAAGTATCTCATTTTGTCAGCGCGCCTCACGTTTGTTAAAACCATAACTGCCCCTTGTGTTTGTGTTTATGTTCGTGCTTGTTAATGCAAAATAAAGCACGTCGACACAATGACTAACATTTGGTGAGACGAAAAAGTAAGATATACAGATCTATCTAAGCAGAAACGACAGTGGGAAAAGAAAGACGTATGACCTACCGGAGGAGTTCTCCAACCCCCTCGTGCTGTTCTATAACAAATAGACTTTGAGCCTTTAGTAAAGAGCAGTATCTTGCATTACTTTGTTTGAAAAGACGTATGGTCTCAAAGGTTTAATTGACATTTTTACACCGAGAACACTCTGTGCTCCTGTTGGGCTCTGAGCTTCCATAATTCTTAGAACGTAAGTACAAAGGACATCATATTTTATATTCTCTATCCCCTTTTATTATTGATGTTGTTGTTGCAGTCGTCCGTGTCACTTCTACTGCTGCTGTTTCTGTTACTGATGTTGTGGCTGTGGTTGTAGCAGATGATTTTTGTTTTGTTAATTGTTAGATGTTGTTGTTACAGTGCTTGTTGTCACGGTTGTCGTTGTTACTTCTTTTTGCTGTTGCTTTGTCGTTGATCTTGCTGCTCTTGTTGTTGTTGTTGTTGTTGTTGTTGTTGTTGTTGTTGTTGTTATTGTTGTTGTTGTTGTTGTTGCTATTGTTGTTGCTGTTGTTGCTGTTGTTGTTGCTCTTGTTGTTGTTGTGGCTAATCTTGCTGTTGTTGTTGTTGTTGTTGTTGTCGTCGTTATTTGTTTTTGTTGTGGATGTTATTGCTTTGTCGTTGATCTTGCTGCTCCTGTTGTTGTTGTTGTTGTTGTTGTTGTTGTTGTTGTTGTTGTTGTTGTTGTTGTTGTTGTTATTGTTGTTGTTATGTTGTTGTTGTTATTGTCGTGTTGTTGTTGTTGCTGCTGTTGCTGTTGTTGCTGCTGCTGCTGCAGCTACTGTTATTGTTGTTGCCTTTTGATTTATTTCATCTGGACACGCAACATTTCCACGTCTGTCTTTGTCTTCAGGCATGACCAAGTCGTCTAGGAACAGCCACATGTCTGCTGTGGAGAAACTCCCCAATGTCTTGTGGAGAGGGACAGAGCTCAATCTGTCGCCCACTTCCGTTGTCAAGGACGCACAGGGTGACGATAAGGACAAGGGGATACGACGGAATCGGAGAGTGAGGAGGTCAGCGAAGAAGAAAAGTGAGTTACAGTAGATACATTAACGGGTACTGATCTGTGGAAGGGGGTAGATTGAGGAGGGGGAGGGAAGAAATTAAGGAAATGACGGAAGAAAAGCATGAGGAGGAAAAAGACGAATAGGAAAAAGAAGAAGGGGTTTGTGTTAGAGAAGAGAAATGGGAAGGAGAAAAAAGGCAGGGGTGGGGGGGTGGGGGCAAATGTCTTTAATCTCATTGACATACTTTAAACACAACGATATATCATTAACGGCATTATTTTCATAAGAGGAAGGGGCTGGTGTTGAAGAAGAGAAATGGGAAGGAGAAAAAAAGACCGGGGTGGGGGGTAACATTTCTTAAATCTCATTGCCATTTAAACACAAAGATAAATCACTAGTGCATTATTTTCACACATCTCACTGCGGAAGGTATAAGTTTCACTCTCATTAATATACAACAAATCTCTCATAATTGCAGTCAAAATATAAATCCACCAAACTGCAACACTGTAATAAAACGGTGTGCCTATTGCAAGGTTCATTCATTTCTTCTCAGCTAAGTGTTTATTTTACGCCAATGCATTTGAATTTTTTAAACTTGATATTTCTTGAACATGTTGATGATTGATTCTCTTCATATTTACAAACTTGATGTACCCTTGGTTGAATTTTATTTGTTCCAAATTGGGTTGACATCAGTATTGAGATGACGGAGTAATTGCATTTTAAGTGCGTGGTCATTTTTAGACACCCCGTATAAATATGTTTGTACGAAGTCCGAAATTTAACTTGGAAACCTATCTTTGATTATCGCCCTCCATATTTTGCGTTTCAGGAAAGGGTAGAAAGCAGAAGTCCAAGAAGTCCAAAAAATCTAAAAAGTCCAAAAAGTCCAAAAAGTCCAAAAAGTCCAGAAAACCCAAGCCGAAGAAACACTCTCCAAAAAAGAAGCCGAAGAAACATTCTCCAAAGAAACATTCCCCAAAGAAAATTTCCCATAAGAAACATGCACCAAAGAAACATTCTCCCAAGAAACATTCCCCAAAGAAACATTCACCAAAGAAACATTCCCCAAAGAAAATTTCCCATAAGAAACATTCACCAAAGAAACATTCTCCAAAGAAAATTTCCCATAAGAAACATTCTCCAAAGAAACATTCCCATAAGAAACATTCTCCAAAGAAACATTCCCATAAGAAACATTCTCCAAAGAAACATTCCCATAAGAAACATT